TTAAAGCGTGTTCCTAACTCATGGCATCTTGGGTCTGTCATTTATAAATTAGGCCAATATTATATTCATATTAGAGGCGGTTGTTCAAAGCGAATGGAGTTGTTGAAATACAAAAATACACAATAAAAACAGCATGTATCAAGGCAATAAGGTTTACCTTATTTAACTGAAAATGCCCGTTAAAACTTCTTTCAAAAGAATAGCTACGGAGCAAAGAAGTTTCCTTACGATAACCAGTCCTTCATCAGGTTCTACAGTTATATATATACATATTAGTGAGTGAATTAGTGTTATGAACAACACTGACGTTGTTTAAATAACATCTAACCAATAATAATGATAATATCAATGGATTACAGTTCGATAGCATCAACGTAACAATGCACTGAATGAATATCAGAGAAAATAGAAAAGATAATAATATAAATTCATGAATTTATAGTCTCCACTGAAGGCCAGACTAGTATTAGTGGCTAGACTTGCTTCTTCTGCACATAGAGCACCGGTTATTTCAGGCAAATCACGATAGCCTCCGCTGTTTGGAGTATGCAGTACGTGCATGTTTTTGATAATTTATTTAGTACCCAGTAGGTCAGGGAGGATTTATTAATGCTGGGTTTATGGCTAGTTTGTACCAGGTGGACTAATATCAAACTGCTGATGGTTTTCCCTACACCTTTATTTTAATACACAGGTAGGTATTCCCAAGCACGAAAAATCAAGTTCGAAGCTCTCTGATTACCTTTCATTTACCACCATTTGGTGTGCACTTTGTTGGCAAGTAGAAGAACCTGTGGTTTGTTGGCCAAAGCGCGAAATTGACCAGTCGAATTTAATCAATGCTAGGCCGTGGATAACATACTAATAGTTACTGATCTCCAGGTTATTTACAAAGATATATAATGGATTGAACTACAAGTTCCATAATGTGTTCCCGAAGTTCCTAATTCTTTTGATCACAAAATAACGGCTGCTAAGTCCTAAAAATCTTACATGGGTGAAACTTATTGCATGCAAAACATAAACAGTAGCGTTCTCCATGTGTATATATTTGAAGAAAGCACCTCGGCTGTTTGTTCCCCGTTTCTAGAAATTTAAAACAATATTTTGATTAGATTACAAGCTACTAATTAAGCTGTTTGCACCCAAATAAGTTTAAATGAATCTTAGTATGATATTGTACATTAACGGAGTACTCAGCTGCTAATTATTATCATCCTAGAAACAAATCTCCAATAAAGTACGTTTAGTCGCCATAGTATATATTTCCGGATTATATTCATAAATAACGAGGCTTCAATTAGTGCAAGAGAAAATCAAGTACTCAAGAGGCAACAATTTTTGAATCGTTTCTCTGTTATCCGTCTACTAGAAACTAACATGGAAAACAGAGAAGTAAATCTGACTGTTGTTGATAATTTCCTTGCTGAGGTGCTTCATTCAGTAACAGTAATAATACTCACTGTCATTATTCTCTCTGGCTCCTAGTGAAACATATGCATTCAACATAAGCGAAACCTTTAAAAGACAGCCAAGGGAAGCCCATTACCAAGGAAGAAAAGCAGATTAAACAATGGGTGGATCACTTCAAAGGACTCTTGAACTGACCACCACCTGCAACCCGTCCACAAATATAAACAATAGCGCGCACACAACTGCAAGTTGACACCAATCCCCTAACGAGAGCTGAAGTCTTGAATGCAGTCAAACTTGTGAAAGCTGGAAAACAGCCGGACCAGATGGAATACCCCCTGAAGCACTGAAAGCGGACCCAGAGACTACAGCAGACATGCTGACTCCATTATTGCAAAAGGTCTGGAAGGATGGAAAGGTACCTACTGACTGGAGGAAAGGTTACCTCGTGAAACTACCAAAGAAGGGCGACTTAGGACTCTGCAAGAACTGGCGAGGAATCATGCTCCTGTCGGTGCCAAGTAAAATCCTGAATCGCATCATCCTGGAGAGAATAAAGGACGCACTGGATACAGAACTCCGACCAGAACAAGCTGGCTGCATTCAGGAAAGCCAAATCATGTACTGACCAAACTGCAACTCTACGCATCATCATCGAACAAAGCATGGAATGGCAATCAAACATCTACCTCAACTTTATAGAAGTTGAGAAGGCCTTCGACAGCGTTGACCGTGAAGTAATTTGGAAATTACTGGAGTACTACGGCATACCCCAAATATTCATCAACCTTATTCAACAGCTATACGACAACGGCACATATCAAGTGATGCACAACGGAAAACTCAGTGAGGCGTTTGGAGTAAACACAGGAGTCAGACAAGGGTGCTTATTATCACCAGTGACATTTCTAATTTTGGTGGAGTGGATTATGCATCAGAGAGTGTGAAACGAGAAGACAGGGATATTCTGTGAAGTCCTCTTCAACTGGATCCATGAATGTCTGTTAACTGTAATCTTCTCCTCACAAGACCGCCTATATATCACCCACCCTAGGAAGCCTAACCTGTCGGATTCAAATCAAGTGACTGGTAAGTGATGTTACTTAACTGTCCCTTCAGTATATGTCAAATCCATCTCCATTTGCCTTGAACACTTAATTGTTTTGGGTTCCTTGACAGTCCCTTTCTGTTTATCTGATCTTCACAATTGAGTAAAGACAGCTGTTAGTCAAAATCTGTAGCCTGTTATCAACGATTTTCGTGACATGCCAACTTTCTGAATCATAGAGAAGCACTAATTTGAAATTTGTGTTACAAATCCGAATCATTAATTTTTTTGCTGAGTGCAGTAGATCACAACGATAATTCCATATCAATGAAGGTCCGTCATGCCTTTCTGATCCTTGCCTGATTAGTTAGATAGATCACTGACTGATACGAAAACAACCAACCAACAACAACAGCAGCAGCAACAATATCCAGCGCCAATCACCATCAACAGGAGGGATTTGAAAGAAGCTACTTCGTTCATTCACTTATCTAGAGAGCATTGTCTCAACTACAGGAGGAACGGACAAGGACGTCAAACCGAGCGAGAATCAGGAAGGCGAGAAACACATTCATCAACCTGAAATCAATCTGGAAATCTTCATCAATCAGCCAGCATCAACAACAAAATTAGGTCGGATTTTCAATACAAACGTCAAGTCAATCAGCTCTTCTATACGGATCAGAAACTTGGCAGGTGGGTCACAAACAATATTTCCAACTGCCTGTTGCAGACCTTCATCAACCAACAACTGTCTTCGCTGGATCTATACTGAAGATCAGATGGCCGGGCCGGAAAGAATCACCAACAAGCAACTATGGGAACAAACAAAACAAGAACCAATCGCCAACCAACAATTATGCAGGAGAAAGTGGAGATGGATTAGACACTCACTGAAGAGGCCACTGGGTGACATCGCGCGCGCGTCAGGCCATTGCTCGAGTGGAACCAGGCCGAAAGGAAAGCAGCGAGTGGGACGTCAGTGCAAGAGTGACATGGAGGAGATGGTGTGAAGTGGAGTTGAAAGAGTATGGACTAAGATGGATGCAGGTGAAAAGTACAGCAGAAGGAAGACAGAAGCAAGTGGAGACGTGCAGTTGAAGCTTTATGTTCCACTAGGAACCGAGGGAAAAATAATAGTAATTATTGTTATTAAATAAAGGTATAAAAGACAAGAAATCCTTTAATTAATTTCTAAAGTGACACTGATACTGAAGATAATATACTCCTAATTTTCACAGCTATTTAAAGTTCTATAGGTTGACCAGCTTTTGAATTCCATTGATATCCTAAAATAAAAGTTTTGTTAGCAGATTTGATGTCGAGATATGAATTCCCTATTTCCATGGAACTATAACTTAAGGTTATTTACTGACATTCCACTGAGTAGGGATTTTCGCTTGATTTTTGTTGTGTTCTTGTTCTAAAGGCTACAAACTTCAAATGATGTTTTGCTTAGCTGTCGTTATGCGACGAGAATGTGTTTTGTCCACAGCTGGTTATCAATAATACGAATAGCTTTAGAAGCCTTGAAAAACACAGTACATATCAAGAGGTGTTTTTGTTCTAATTCTTATAACCTTTTTATTGTTGATAAATGATTGCTCTGAATATTCATCTTCAAGTTGTTTCGTGAGTTTACATAAGGTAATCAATGGATTTTCCTCATTTACAATGAACTATTAACCTACAAGATTTCTACCCCTTTAATGTTGCTTATCGCCCTTTTAACTCAAGTATTTTCGGAAATTCTTCGTCACAATCATTTTATCAGAAAAGAAAGGAAAATAAGTTAACATATGTCATTAATAAACATCAACTATGAGCTATAATTCAATTTGCACTATCCCGTTGTTTGACTAGATCGATGTGCCCCACCTCAATTTGACATATCGGCTCCTTGTGCAGATGCTTCGACTATGTCTGATTACTTAATTTGAAGTGGATTGCTGGATGGTGACTGGAAGTGGAATCCAGAATGAGCATTTCGTCCTATTCGGGACTCGTCACCTGGATATACCTGTATCACCCAGTCAGTGAGTAATAGGTCTCCCTCTGAAGCTCGATTCTAGTACTCATAGTTTTAAAGGTGAAAGTGTTATCCACTAGACCCGTTGGGCAGAAATGTCAACCTGAGGCCAAGCACTTCTGTCCAATCAATCAACAGGAGAGGGCAAAGTGATCTATAAGTAATTATTGATACAATCGTTGCACAAGAAAGAGCTGGCTGTCGTTGCTGAATTGATCAAATGGATAGTGCTTTGGCGTTTGAAACTGAGTTCGGTACTGAGTTCGAGTCTCAGTGGGAAAACCATCACTCACTGACTACAGAATGTAGATACGCCTAGCTGACGAGTCCCGAATAGGACTGAATGCGCATCCTTGATTCCACTGCTAGTCACCATCCACCATCAATTCACTTCAAGATATAAACTATTAGCGTTGCTTGTTTAAAAGATGGTATAATGAAGTCTGATTAATATCACGTTTCTCATCCAGCTTTATTTGTTTTTGTTTTTTATGTTTTTTTAAATTTTAGCAGAATAAACTGCAACCTGGAAGACGAACAAGAAATTAATCATTTTACTACAGATGAAATATTTCAGCCAGTTACAGATTCAGCCATAGAGACAGAAAGACTTGTCATCAATGTAAGCGGTTTACGTTTTGAAACACAAGTACGAACTGTAAGTCAATTTCCCGATACCTTATTAGGTAATCCAAATAAACGTAACCATTATTATGATCCATTAAGAAATGAATATTTTTTCGACAGAAATCGATCAAGTTTTGATGGTATCTTATATTTTTATCAAAGTGGTGGTCGACTTCGACGACCAGTTAATGTACCTATTGATGTATTCAATGAAGAAATAAAATTCTATGAACTTGGTGATGAAGCATTAGCTAAATATCGTGAAGAAGAAGGATTCATAAAAGAAGAACCAAAAGAATTACCAAGAAATCGTTTTCAGCGTAAAGTATGGCTATTGTTTGAATACCCAGAAAGTTCATTAGCTGCACGTATATTGGCTATCGGTTCAGTATTTGTAATACTTTTGTCGATTATAATTTTTTGTCTAGAAACTTTACCACATTTTCGTAGATACAGAATAATGAATCATTTCAACTCGACAATTTATGATGAAGAAGTCATTTTAGTAGAGGATGATTTACCGACTATTGATCAACCTTTTTTTATTATTGAAACTTTTTGTATAGTTTGGTTCAGTGGTGAATTGTTGATACGTTTTGCATCATCGCCAAAAAAGTTGGCATTTTTTAAAGTTATCATGAATGTCATCGATGTTGTTTCTATTATCCCTTACTTCATTACTGTTGGTGCTGTTATTATTGATGATCCAAAACAACGTAACCAGACTACATCATTAGCTGTCTTAAGAGTGATTCGTCTTGTTCGTGTTTTTCGCATATTCAAGCTATCAAGACATTCGAAAGGATTACAAATTTTAGGACAAACATTGAGAGCAAGTGTTCGAGAACTAGGCCTGCTTGTCTTCTTCTTGCTTATCTGTGTTATCCTTTTTTCATCAGCTGTTTATTTTGCTGAAGCTGATGATGACACTTCATTATTTCGCAGTATACCAGATGGATTTTGGTGGGCAGTTGTAACAATGACCACAGTGGGTTATGGTGATATGCGTCCTGTGACCGTGTGTGGAAAATTGATTGGCTCTTTGTGTGCTATCGCTGGTGTATTAACAATCGCATTACCTGTACCGGTTATTGTATCAAACTTTAACTATTTTTATCATCGTGAAACTGAATCCGATGAAAATTCTCATTCTGTAACTTCGTCAATGGAATGTGATAATGACGCCGATGATGATGATGATGATGACGGTGATGATGAAGAAAAGCAGAAACATACAAGATTTCAGAATATCTCCCATCATCATATGAATAATAAATCGCACAAAACAGTTATTCATAAGGACAGTAATATAAGTACTCAGTATGATGTAACATCATTACCACCACCACCACATGTTGCCTTGAAACAAAATTCTATTTCACCAAAAAAGTCAACACCATCAACATTTTTCTAGTCATAACACAAAAAGCACATGATCAAACTTATTTTCTAAATTATCTGCCATCTGTAATACTATTCGTTTTTTTTAAACTTTAGATATTATGCTCAAAGACTGAAACGCATGCAAAACATTGTTTAAGTGTTTAATTTATTAAATATATTTCATCTTCAGAAAACACCTTTGCATTCTGAAGTGATGACGACTGTAAAACTGATTGCAGGTATCTTATGGCTGAAATATTTTACTACCTTCCTTGGTATTGAACACGTGTGTATACTAGTAAAAAAAAGAACAGCCACTTACAATGAGTGGTAATAGACAGGCGATATATACTCTGGAACTAAGATCACCAAGACCGGTCGACTGATGCATATTGAAGGCAGTAATTTCTAACATTTCTAATTCTTGTATCAATGATTACCAAGCACAAACATATATATATATATATATATATATATATATATATATTCAAAACAAATATTTTTATTATAACACTTAATTCATTAGAGTCCGTTTATTAAATCTATTCTTTTCGCTTCTCCTCGATTCCTCACGTCGAAGGACAGTAATAAAGACACCAATGGTTTGGTTTTCTTTGTTTATAGACAAATTTTTAATGTTTAAAAAAAAACGGAGTTTTGTCAAACACACACGCACACATCCACACACACACACACACAGAGCAAATAAAAAGTAAGGCATCTGTAAAAATCGCTCTCATTTTGAGGTAAGTCCTACTTAGACAAAAAAAACTTTCTATTGACTCTTGTATCCCTATACATATATATATATATATATATATATGAGATGTACTGCCACCTATTTCAGTACTGTAAGAAAATATTTTTCTGTATCTTGTGTGCATTTATATACATATATTTTGTCAAAATAGAACTTTCATTTTAAGCAATAAAAGATTTTATTGTTCATACTTATACATTTGTTGTTGTGTTTTCTTGAGGGTTTAATATGAACAACTATGAAATGATTGATAAAAAGGCTGAGAAACTGTTGCTCTTTTTTAAAAGCAGTAGTACGGAAATAATTCAACCTACACGTTAGTATGGTATTGAGTTTAATGTTAAGGTGTGAATTATTTGCTGGCTCTAAACTGTAGCAGAGCCCAAAACCGAAAATACCCCTAGCCAACGGATAAATGACCTTGAGCAACCAATCAGGTGAATCCGTATTTTACAGGTGTATATATGGATGCGGTACACTTTTTGCGTTGTAAATTCTCTCCGGTGTTTTTTTTTCTATTACTGTTTGGAGAATAAACTGATAGGAAGGTCAAAAAGTGTGAATGTGGACGTGTCATGTGTTTACAAAGATATACTAGGTGCATTGATGGATTTGTTTACAGTTGCGATGAGTGTCGAATCAGAAAATTAGTTCGAGAAGTTATGTTGTTCTTTTTTAGTTTACAGATTCCGTTGGTACTTTTTTTGCCATGTCTAAGTTACCTCTAACGAAAATTTTTATGATATTTCATCAATGGGTGCTTAAAAGATCAGTAACAGCAACAGCATATAAATAAGAAAATTCAAAAGTGTCTGCAGTGCAGTGGTTCAATACTGCGGAGATATAAAATCATGGAAAATAAACAGACTGGCTCAAGTACTTGGTGGCATTGGCGTCATTGTTTATGTGGATGAGACAGTGCTTATGAAAAGAAAATATGATCGAAGTAGACTGAATGCGAATCAGCAGTGGGTGTTGGGGATATGTGACACCACCCTTCACAAAGGATGCATTAGGGTGATCGCTAGTCGCAGTGCTAATGTCTTATTGCCTACTATCCAACGCTTCGTGATGCCTTGAAAAACTATTCATTCAGATGGATGGAGTAGTTGTAGTCAGCTACCAACCCTGAGCTATATTCATCACGTCTTCAACCATACAAATGATTTTATCAATCCTTTCAATGGAACTCACACGAATTCCATCGAAAACTTTTGACGTCACTTCAAAAAAAGGATCAGATCTGTGAACTGATAAAGAAATGCAATGGTATACAGTTATCTCAATGAGTTTATGTACAGGGCTTGGTTTAACATAACTATGAAGACTGTTATGATAAATTGGGAGGTTTTTTCGGAAAATATACGACAATGTTATCCTTTGTAACTATTTTTTAACATTGCATTACTTTTATATAAAAGCTTTAATCAAATTATGAGTTGTTTCTACGGAGGCGTCTGATTGGTCAAAGTTGTCATTGTGAAGGTCATTTACCCTTTCACTAGGTAATTTCAGTTTGAACTGCTATAGTTTATACTCACCTTATTCCCTTAGGTTCCAAATGGCACATATAGCTTCAGAAGTACATATCCACTTAATCCTGTTCTCTGAAGTCCTCTTTACCTAGCTATATGTTTGTACATATCCTGTTACCACCTCCTCATACGGCCTCTTGCATATGGCCCTCGGATACTCAGTTGGTCTCTTATTCCAATTCCACTCAACGCGCTGGTCATCACGCAGTGATCTTCTTCGAATGTGTCACAACCATCTAGATTTTTTTTGGCGTATTCGCTGGTTCTTGGTTGATTCACTACTCGCCAGAGTCTCTTGTTATTAGTCCTTTCTGGATGGTCATAGGATTTTTAGTGCCGAGGCAACAAAGACAGCTGTTGGTGAAAGTTCACATCAGGCTTCTAGTGACGCGTTAAGTTTCCGAATTATAAATAACAGCTAATTTTACATTGGTGTTGAAAATCCCATTCTTGTTCTTTATGCTCAGTGCAGTAGACTTCCAGACTGATTTCAGAGTACTGAATGTTTGTATTGTCTTTCCGATCCCGGCCATGATGTCTTCACCCGTGACGCCTGTAGACTGAATCTCTGTTTATAGCTTGTAAGACTGAATTTTCTCGTTCACACATCAATACTTAGCTCTCACTATTAAACCGTCCATTTCGCTACGCAGAAAAAATGGCAGTATAAAATTCATCGACATAAATTGCATAGGCAAACATTAATGATATTACTGTAAGTTAAATGAAGGTAGGAAAAATAACTTATGAATAGAATTGAAGTATTTATATTCTCAAGAGTTGGTTTGTAAGGATTAGATTTGTTAATTTTGTTTTTGCAGGTTTGACCACGAACTGATATCAGTTAGAGAACCATTGAAAACTGGCACGGATTACTGGATAGTCAGCGGTTTCATCCTAGCGTCTAGGAATCATCAGTGGAACACATCCACTGCCAGAGTTGGGACTCAGGACCTTACGGTTACAAGCTCATATACCATTCAGCTCCTGGGACCCTGATTCAATGGCCAGCTCATGAATTCTAACTTCTACCAATTCGTGATTTAGCACGACCATCAACCAATGTCGTCGGTGGGACATCCATCCTCAAATTTGACTGGATGGAGGTCACTGTTCACGACTTCTCACTACAACTCCGGGAAACTCCGTTCCGTAGCAAGTCACTAACGAGCATCAGATTTATTTTCTGTAGATAGTTCGTAAGGAATAGATTTTTTTGACGGTTCGACCACAAATTGACATCAATCATAATAATAATGATAATGATAATTTACTTTATTCCAAAAACAGTACTCATGATGAAGCAAGGAATGTTCAGCATTCAGTATAATGTTGCATCTAATTTGCTCAGAAAACGACAAAAAAATTAAAAATAAACATTACACAGTAATAAAAATAAAACGTTGGCATGGTAGCTACATAGCAAAATACTGTATGCAATACGGAGAAAAATATGCATAAAGTGTAAAATTGTAGTAATAATAGTAATAACAACTGAAATAAAATAGTAAAGTTATAATTAAACGATAGAAAGTGTGACACCATATAATACAGAAAGATGAACAATTAAAGGGTCGATCCACTTTGCTGATTACATAGTAACTTATGTGTTTCACATCTAACAGAGTCTTCATCACATAAAGTACGGGCTAAATAGGGTATTGTAGAATTTCTGTGAGTGTGAGGATGGACGTTCTACCGACGACATTGGTTTGTGTTCGTGCTAAATCACAAATTGGTAGAAGTTAGAATTCATGAACTGGTCACTGAATCAGGTCCCAGGGGCTGAATGGTATAAGGGCTTGTAACCGTAAGATCCTGGGTTCGAACTCTGGCAGTGGGTGCGTACTGCTGATGAATCCCAAAACTAGTATTTATATTCACCGAAATCGTCGTCGCTTATGACATGCAGATGAATACATTCTTTAACTGCTCCTATGGAGCCAATTACATAAGCAGTAAAATTAGACGTGTTTCTCATCATATCTGCTAACATCACCCCGCATAGTGGTTGAGTAAAGGAAAAACAAAGTTTATTCGTAGCGCCACTCTACCTCATCTTGTGGATACAGAACAAAAGATTGATGTTACCAAGACGGCTTTCAAAGTCATTTACCGCATACCAACAAATCTCAATTTCGCCTTAAGAGTTCGATTACTAAATATTTCTCAGGCTAACCGTTGAGATCCACATTAAGAAGCCTAATTTATGCATCCGAATGAAGCTAGTTCACACATTGTTCTTATCTTGGCCATCTAGGTTCCAATGATCCTAAATTTGTTGTGGAAATTTCATTAATTTTAGTTAATACTCTATTTGCTATTATATATTTATTATTATTATAATTTAAGCATCTTTAGTGAACTTTAGTTCCACTGATCTTACTTTACAAATCGATAATATTTAAAAAACACTAATATTGTTATTGACTACTATTCAAGAATATTCTATGTATATAAACATATTTGTATATGTAATTGTAGAGCCAGAAGAGGAGATTATCGGAAAGGATATCCTTTCCTCAATTATTTTGTGTTTTAAATTTGTTTGAATGAATATTTTCGCTATATTAAAATGATTTTAACAATTATGAAAATGTAAATGGCAAAAAAGAGATAAAAGAAAATAATTAAAGCAGGGAAATTTCATAGCCGTCGCACCTCTGTCAACACTGTACCTCAGGTGATCACTATTCGTAGGAAGTACTGTGTTAATGGAACGATTCCCTCTGCTTCTCCTTCGCTTTATTACTCCAGTATATATTCAAAATGTGAAACGAAAACATTTAACTCAGGCTTTTTGTCATAATCAGTAAGCCACTGTTTTATGTAAATTCACTCACTAGAAAGTAGTTACAATATTTTATTTTTGGAAAAAACTGTTTCTTTAAGCGAATTGTAGATTTTCCCGTCGATTGATTGAACCGAAGTACTCGGTCTCAGGTTGACATGTCGTCGTCTTTTGCAGATGCTTTGACGATTTTAGGCATGTTGTAAGAATTCAGTTGGTGGATGGTGACTAGCAGTACAATCCAGGATGCTCATTTCGCACTAGTCAACCAGATATACCTGCATTTCCCAATCAGTCAGTGATGGTGTTCCCACTGGGGCTCGAACCCAGTACCCATAGTTTCAAAAGTGAAAGTGTTATCCACTAGACCACTTGGGCCACCAGAGCTACCTCGTGTGCAATTAATTAATTATTAATTAATTATTATTAATTGTTATTACATTAATTATTATTATTTGTCCAGAAGACGGGTTCTGATTCGGACGAAATGCGCTTCTTGGATTCCACTTCTAGTTACCATCCACAATTTAAACTGTTTCTTTCATTGTAAACACCTGAAGCTGATATTATTCACATAAAAAAACATGTTCATTAAACGAAACTGTGTATTTAAAGGGCGTCAGCATTAAATAATGTGCACTATTATGTAACCATGTATATTTACATTTATGAAAAACCACCTTGTGATGGTATTTTCCTAACTTCCACTTTATTTAAATATGTCATGTCCATGTGAA